AGGGTGTATTGTTATTGATTCACATTTTATTGAATTTTATTTAATGTGTTAAAAATGACACTCTATTCATATTATGTAGGAGCCGGACTAGTTTTCAACTAGTCCTACAAGTCCCTAAAAAGTCCGGGTTTGGACCTGGCCCAAACTAGTTCCCCATGGACCACTTAACATCCCTAATACGTATTGATAGTAGTTGTATTTGGTACCTTTTAGATACTTATATTAGAAATCTTTTTTACTTTATTGTCATCTGTAATGATGAGTGACTACTTACGGCATTACGGCTATGACGTAGAGGTCGTTCTACCCCGAGGTTATATTGCCGTGGAGCGATGTAGTATGCCGTATAGTGTTACTACCCTGAAAAATTTCGCTGACCAATCAAATTCTAGTAAACACAAAAATCAATAGCTTTGTACGAGATGGTTCATGTGCTTTACACAATTATAACCAATTTTCGTATACCATCCAACTAAGTTGCCGAATATACATAACCAAATCCTCTTTTGCTAATTTCTTTAACGTTAGATACCATATAAGCGCGAAATAACGCCCACCTGCGCGTTATTTCGAATACATCCATGTGCAATAAAAGTTGATTTATTGCACGGGTCTTATGTAACAACCCAATGAAATTGTTATTATATGGGTTATAAAATAACTAAATTTTGCACAGGTTACATGGCCGAAGGCCATGTAACTTAACCCGTGCAAATTTAGTTATTTTTTTACAACCTATACAATAACTATAACTTTCTAAATCCAATACAGTCAACCTTCCATAACTGCACGTTTTTGAGTAAAAGTGCATTTATAGAATATTCATTTATGGAGCATAATCTACATGTAACGATAATATTAAATAACTTCATTAGACCGATCAAACTATTCATTATAGGGAAAGTGCATGTGAGGTACAAATATAGAGAGTGCACATGGAGTGTCGATTGTATATCATTTATCGGGTTTACCGACATATACCCAACAATCACTTCACCGACAACTATTTTCCCGATAATTATTTCCCCGACGACAATCATTTCCCCGACATGACCATTTCCCAACATGATGTGATTGTTGGGAAATGGTCATGTTATGTCGGGAAAAAATAGTTGTCGAGAAGTGGTTGTCGGTAAGCCACTTTATCGTAACAAAATTATGTGCTACATTAGGATGCGCGTTGCCCATAGTGCTAATGTCGAGAACATATAAGTTATTTTTGAAGGATCCGATTTTCAAAATAATGCCCACGAGCGTTATTTCACGCTTATACGGTAATTTGTTGAATGAAATCTGTTTAATTGCATTCCTAGGTTTCTAAGCTGAAATTCTCTGATGCAATCATTTAATCATTGTCAAATATATTATATATATTTTTTATATCATTAAAAATTTATTGTAATACTCACTGACCGAATAGAAAGGTAATCTGAAGGATATTAGTTAGTAGTAAATAAGTGTTTGTAAACATGAATCACTTTTTTAATCCGCCGATTAATATATTCGCCCACTAAATTAAGGTGAATGACGGTATACGGAGCATACAACACTTATACGGAATACGGTATTTATACTACTTATACGGCAAATATGCCATATCGCCGTGATATTTTTGCTGGGGTAGCTACCTCCAAAATTCTAAATGTCTGCACCTCTAGTCATCTGTGATAAGATAAGTTTATTTTAATATGTTGTTCGTGCATGATGTAGTGGCAATCGATTGAAATATAGAAGAGATAGCTCGAGCATCGATCGTCATTTTTGTAATCGATCATAGCGTTTGAGTGTCATCTCTATCACTAGCCAAAGGTGCTTGACAAAATGTAAAATTTTTTTTGATTAAGTTGAATTCAATCCCCCTAATAAATCGAGTCAATTTAGAATACCGTTGCAACACTGTTGCAACGTCTACTGATTTGGAACCTACAAATATTCATTCGACGTACAACATATATATACATAATTTTATTATATAGTATTTTGATTTGTTAATATATAGTGGGCTATTACATATCAGATATGCACTTTTTATTGATTAATATTATGTTCATTTTTCAACAAGATTATTCTTGATTATCCTTCTACTATAATTTCATTAGAACCACCTTCATATTGGAAAAATATGAAGCTCTACGGAATTCCAACTTTCAATTATCAGCATTAATTAAAAAAGAAATATGAATCAACGCCTCCTGACTGGCTTAGGTTTGATATCAACGTCATTGACAAAGTGTAAAAAGATGGCATTTCTGTTTGCTGACGAATATTGCAAAAAACCCTAGATCATTATCATTAATTTGAATTTGAATTGAAAGTAATTATTAACATTGAAGGAACATATATTACGCAAGTAAATCAACATAAAGCATAAAGTACTTACCTTACTCCAATCATAACTGACTGCGTACGTAAAAATAGTACCATTGCGATTGAACGTAGCAGCAGGAATTGATGTGCCGACTGAGCTGAAACCCTTTAAACGTTGTCTGGAGTCTTTATCCCAAAAATTGAATGTGCCATCACTGCCAGCGGTTGAAAAAGTACCGTATATTGGATGGAAAGAAATGGAATTGACAGAATACACGTTGTTTCCATCTCGATGACATCTAAATGAATAATTCGTGCTAATTCAAGGAAATAAATATGAAAGTTTGTTAAGCAAATAAACAGTTCTAAGTAACGTGAAACATAGAATATAAATTTGGGTAGATATTCCAATTACGAAGCATATATGGATCATAACTTACAGATTATCTTTTTCTTCAACATATTGGATTCCTACTCTTCCTTCTATACTTCCAATAGCGTAACCATCGCCGCTCGGAAAACAAGAAATATATCGCGTTTGAAATTTCAATGGACTTTGACAAGTCTTAATCAAATCAAGTAAAGTTATTATTACATATAACATTAGCTATATATACTAAAATATATATTAACCTTATAAGGAGTTGACGGACGTCCTAGATTGTATATTTGAACAAGCCTGTCTGCGGTTCCAACAACCATTAATGGGTAAATGGCATCCATTGCATAGCATCGTTCTGGAAGATTAACTGTTAGCACAGGTGACGGAGTTCGCATGTCCCAGTACTATAATTTTTGCATTAAAATATAATCAAGTTAATGAATTTAATAAGTTTGATTGAATACTCAAGATAACTCACCTTTATTGTTTTGTCCCAACTAGCTGTGGCCACTAGATAAGCTTGATCAACATATTTGATACATCTAATAGGTTGATCATGAATAGCAATTTGTGTGGATTGTTGTGTAGTAATGTCGAAGCAACGACCTGCATTATCCGCGCCACCAGAAACAACTCTAAACCCATCCTAGGTCCGAGCGATAGAGAAATTATTTATTATTTGAAGTATACAAAAATAATATAAATAATAATAATAATAGGAAATTGATATTTCCACACCCTTTTTTGATAATGCCACATCCCGCCGATCATTTTAATTTTTTTTAATTTTTAAAAAAGTTAATTAAGGATATCTCGGCAACTACCTAACTAAATTCGATGAGCTTTTTTTTATTTTAATTATAGATACATGTAGAATACAAAGGAAAAAAAGCACATAGAATTTAGTCAGGTGAGTGTCGAGATATCGTCGATCAAAGTTTCACAACAATCTGCAACGCGGTAGACGTTCAAAATTTACAAAGTCTTTGGT